ACATTCACACAGATTTTAGAAACATATAAAGGACAACAATCTACACATTACTTAATATTTTTTCACTTAATCATAGATGACAGTATAGCTGTTTCACACACATAGTCATTTCTTAGAAGTTTGGATCATTCATCTTAGAGACAACATACAAACTTCCAGGAATAACTTGGAACATTGAAGTCTCAGTTATTCATTCATTATCAGCCAGAGTCCTATTAAGAGACAAAACCAGACATGATCTGAACAAGGGAAGTTTAATACAACAATTATTAGCTATAACAAGAAATAGGCTAGAAGAAGGGAGACAGAACTTCAGGCAGAACTCTGAAGAATACAGGGCTGGGTAGGGCTGATTCTGCTAGGGGTGAAGTGGACTTTTCGAGGGAAGAGATCCTGTACCCCTTCCCTGCCCGGCTGCGATTCTGCCCTTGTTGGGGAGGGCACAGCCATGGCTCACCGAGTGGCAGGAAAATCCCTGGTCTGTCCTCCAGTTTGCAGAAGGAAGTGCTTCACAGGGAGGTGTCTCACTAGAGACACTGCCACAAAACTGCCCCGGGTAGGGGTGCTGCGAGCTGCCCTGCGCTCCCAGAGCCTGGCGCTGCAGGGGTGGTGCCCGCACAAGCCCGCCAGCCGGGGAGCACACTGGAGCCTGGAGGGAAACCCCCTCTTGCTGCGATGCCTTTCCAGTGTCCTCCACTGACAATGGTTTACCATCGTGCCGGCCTGTGAAGGAAAAGCATTTAAAGGGCTCATCTTAATTCCCTAGGACTGGCAATTAAGGATGAATTTGAAGCTGAAAGGCAGTAGATGGACAATGGGCACACTCCACAGACACTTAATATTGACACCTGGATGCCTACCGTGGGGCAGGCGATGTGGTTTTGTTTCCAACCATTGAATGTTTACTATTTGTCAGATTGTTCTGTTTTTCTCTATATATAAATATTTATTCATTTTTGAGAGAGAGTGCAATAGGGGGAGGGGCAGAGAGAAGGAGAGGGACAGAGAGAATCCCAAGCAGGTTCTGTGCTGCCGGCACAGAGCCTGACAGGGGGCTTGAACTCACAAACTGTGAGCCCATGACCTGAAGTCGGACGCTCAGCTAACTGAACCACCCAGGTGCCTCTGTGAGCTTCAGTGTTCTAAGCACTTAAATGTATAAACTCAAGCAATCCTCACACCACCCCTATGAGTAGGTGCTATTCCCATCCTCATATTACAGATAAAGAAACTGAGACAGAGAGAAGGAAGTAACTCATCCAACATAAGCCAGTAAGTGGTAAAGCCAGGAACTGAACCTGGTTGTTTGTCTCCATATGCTTAACCACTGTGCAGCAATGCCTTTCAGCATGTCCCTGTGGCACAAAATTATCCCAGTCCCCTTCAAGAATATTCCCCGACCGGTCTACATGTCCATGCTGGAAGCACTCGTGACCAAGTGTCTTCCTATGAAGGTAAAGAAAAAGCCTTATTCATGCTCTTACATTACCCCAGGGTTCCCAAAAGTTTCTGCCAGGATATTATTGGGAAAGATATTATTTGGGCATAGCAATCTCATACCTCATTGCTTGGTGGACCTTCCTACCTCCTTGGTGTTAGCGGTGGACACCTTCATTTGTAGGCATCCACAGTGTGCTGTGGCTTGATTGAAGTGGCTCTAGTGAAGTCCACTAGAATAGGGAAACCTATCCTTAACCAAACCCATTCAAAACATGTTTGTTTATATATTGGTCTTAAATCACACTCATAAACTTGAAATACTGACAGCAAGCAAAGGAATCTTTGTTTTTATCTTTATCCTAGGAGCCCTTTCCCCAACAGTGACATAACATCTGCTTTGTTTCCATTTTACTAGTGTTCTATAAAGTGTTTTTTACACCGGTGTTTTGCAAACTGCGTTTCTAATAAGCCCCCGAGTGATGTCATTGCTGCAGTGTGGAACCACACTTTGAGTGGCAAGGGACACACGATACATCCAAGGAAGAGAGGATGCTGGTTCATCTCTCCATAATAAGAGGATCATTCCTTAAAAACCAAAATCTTAACTTTTATGTCACTGATGTGATGTGAAGTGTTTTAGCGTTTATCCTAACAGATCTTGGGCAGGAAATCTTTAAAGCCTTGATCCAAAATTGGATCACAGAAAGAACCAAATCAGGGACAGACAGTTGTGGCAAACCACACACCCAGCTCTCTGACACTTAATTCTGGAAATGTTATAACAACAAAACCCCAGACCAAAAGAACCAACAGAGATAACACTTTAATAAGTCAAATAGTAATACTTTTAATGAGACACTGATATCTTTAAATTATTAAATATAATGGGGCAAAAGATTTATCATGAGTTGACCCCTGATTACTTGAGAGTGGAGGGATAATGTTTCTAAAAGCATTGTGTAATTAAAGGACATTCGGGACTTAAGACCTTGACCAAACACTGATAATCTTATTTCCTAAATTTAAAAAAAGAAAGGGAAATTAGCAGCATAAGCCTTAAAACAAGATAAAATGAATTACAGTATATACCGGGCCCTGTTCTCGTGCTATGGGTACACAGATACACTGAGGGAGCTCACAGTCAAAAGACAGAGTCCTACTAACCCTTTATTTTATATATGGTAATGACAGGAAAGGACAGGATGCTGTGGTACCACAGATGCACATAAGAAAACAGCAAGACTGGGAGAAAGGAGGTCCTTGATGACATCTTGAACTCAGGTGGTGGTAACAGGGATGAAAAGCAGGGAACAAATCTGAGAGCATTCAGTGAGACGAGGAAAGGAAAGATTTTTCACTGGTAGGAAATAATGTCTTCAGTCTGGGATTTATGGAGTTATTTATAGCCTGTGGACTATTCAGAGGTATGTTCAACAGCAGCTGACGGACACCTGGGTGTCTCAGTTGAACGTCCGACTCTTGATTTTGGCTCAGGTCATGATCCCAGGGTAGTGGGATTAAGCCCTGTATTAGGCTCTGTGCTGAGCATGGAGCCTGCTTAAGATTCTTTCTCTCTCCCTCTGCTTCCTTCCCCCACTCATGCTCTCTCTCTCTTAAAAAAAAAAAAAAGGACAAACACAGCAGTTGAATATATGTCAGGATTATTGGCATAGAGGGTAAAGTAGATAAAGATATTTTAAAGTTACTAACATAGGTAGTAATTCAAAGCATGAGAAGATGTGAATGGAAAGAAGAGTAGAAGGTCAAGGATGGAACTCTGAGGAATAACTATTGAGGAGAGGAGGAGGAGTTCAAGAGCAGAGACTGTAATTTCTCAGTAGTAGGAAAACTAGGAGAGACGAGTGTTTTGTCAATCTGGGATATGGAAAATTTCCAGGAAGGAATGGGTACCAGTATCACATGCAGAAAGGAGATCCTATAGGATAATGTTAGAAAAACACCTGCTACCTGAGGCAGGTACTATGACTCACTAATTCTTGTATATTTAGTAATTAGAACAATAAAAGACACAAGGTAGGCACTACACAAATGCTTATGGAATATTATTGACTTGACAATAACTTTCATTAGTAACACAATAAATTTATTCAAATGATTCAAACTCAAAAACGTTTGAGACAGTGTTGATATTTTCCCAAGGGAGTTTCTTCTTGACCTAACCCAGGCTAAATTTTCAGTAAAAAAAGTAAGATAAATGTAGAAAACTTATCAATCCAGTGAAGGAAAGGGGGGGTGGGAGGGGAAGGATAATAAAAAGAAAATAAAAAATAAGGTGAATAAGTAAATTTAGCCAAAAGGTGTCACAATATTAATATTAGAAAAGTAGAATTTAGGCAAAAACTTGCAGTAGGACTAGAGGAATTTTACAGAAGGATAAAAATCATCAGTTCACGGGGCGCCTCGGTGGCTCAGTCGGTTAAGCGTCTGACTTTGGCTCAGGTCATGATCTCACCGTTGATGGGTTCCAGCCCCGCGTCGGGCTCTGTGCTGACTGCCAGCTCAGAGCCTGGAGCCTGTTTCAGTCTGTGACTCCCTCTCTCTCTGACCCTCCCCTGCTCACGCTGTCTCTCTCTCTCTCTAAGAAATAATAATAATAAAAAAAAGTATCAGTTCACAAGAAGGTACATCTAGGCCTGTCATGCAAGTGCAGGGTCAAACTTTGTTTTTATTTAAAATTGAAGGAAGGCTGACCCTTGAGCATTCTAGGAGTAGGGACCTCTTACCTCACCCCACCCTAGAGGAAAATCCCCACATGAATTTTGACTCTCCTGAAACTTAATAGCTTACCCTGTACCAGAAGCCTTACCAGTAACATAAACAGCTGATAAACACACATTTTGGATGTTACATGTATTATATACTGTACTCTTAAAGTAAGCTAAAGAAAATGTTAAGAATACCGTAAGGAAAATACATTTAGGGCACTCTGTTTATCAAAAAGAAATCCCTTTATACGTGGACCCACAGGGTTCAAGCCTATGTTCTTCAAGGGTCAACTGTATTTTATTCATCATAGATTTTTTTGTATAAACTTTATTTTTAAGAATGTTGCCTGAAAATATTATTTATCTCAATTACTGAGTGTTTTGGGCGTCCATTTAAATTTTCCCCGAGGCTACTGCCTCACTCCAATCCCCGCTGTGGACCAGAAGGGTACTTGTGTGCATCTGAACATATAACTCCAAGTGATATATTGCAAAAGTGGACAAAATCGGAAGGGAAAAAAAAAAAAACCTGACATAATCTCGACAATAGTGTGAGATTTTTAACATACCCGCATCGGAAACGGACAGATCAATAAAAAAACGAAAAATTTCCCGCAACTCTGTGATGGGCAGCGGCCGGTAGTCCAGGCCGGTGCTGGGTGCTGCGAACGTCCGTCCGCGCCGCCCAAGCGCGGCCCCGGGACGCTGGGGACAGAGGCTCGAGGCGCCAGGGGAAGTCCCAGGCGACGCGGAGCAGGCGTCCGCAGTTGCCCCAGGCCGCCGCCGGAAGAGGCCGGCGCTTTGGGGGCCCGTGGCCCCTCCCCTGGGCGTGGCCCTTAGTCTCCTCGGGCCGCTTCTCCGCGAACGTTCTCTTCCTGCGCCACGCGCACCACCCACGGGCTAACAGAAAAGCCGCGGGGCCTCGCGAGTGGCACCAAGCCCGTGGCGCACCCTCAGAGGCCGGGAGGGCGGCAGGATGTGGCTCCGCTTTGCCGCAACAGGCACCACCCGCTTCTCGTTGCCGCCGCTCTTCCCCTCCTCCTCGTCCTTGGGCCCGGGCTCCGGTTCCAGCACCAAGTCTCCCGCTCTCACCCTCCTGCTTCGTGGCCGCCATGACCGCAGACACGTGAGCGCAACGGCCGTAAAACGCCGCGACGTCGCGCTTTTGCTCGCCGCCCCGCCGCCCTATCTTTGGTTTTGGTGTGTGATTGTGTTAGTTTACTCATTGATGTTTCTTCTCCCAAGTTCTTAGTTGAACGCTTAATCGTTTTTTCGTGCATGTGTTTCAAATAAATGCACTTAGGCCAAATTTATAACCCACCCGTTACAATAAATAGTGCTTACACTTCTCAGAATACTTTGTGATTTATTTTTTGTTCTTTGACCTATGAATCGAATACATTTTTTTAGTTTCAAAACAAATGGTATTTGTAAGTTTATAATTATTGTGTATATTATTTAGATCCAAGCTTTTAAACGGAGCTTCCTCTTGCACAGGAGCCTCCTCTTCTAAACGGTTACTTTGCACAGGAGCCTCCTCTTCAAACGCTATTAAGAATGAAAAAGGAGCCCTCGAGATACTGGAGATAATACTATACAACTTTATGATACAGGGGAGGAAAAAAAACCCTTTCATTCTACCCTTCATAGGTTGACTTTGGGTTCCTGTAACAAAAGACATTAAAAAGAAAAACGCATACACATCTATATAAGACATGGGAGCCTTCATAAGGAAATGAAAACCTAAAGGAGTTTGAGTCAACACTTACACAGTAAGTGGGGCAGAGTGGTAAACCGTGAGAAGGTGGTAAGATGAAGGTACCTGGGCTATGGCGCTTAATGACCAGGAAGATAAGAGTTCGTTTAACAGGATTTGTACGGATTTCTCTTGGCCTCAACTTCCCCTGGAGTGGAGTAATACCTTGTCGCTCCACTCAAGGGAGGGGTGAAGTGCCGCCCCCTAGTGATAAAAATGTCTTTCTTCCTCCAAGTTAAGGGAGGTCACCTTTTGGGAGCTTTATCTCCTTTTAGGAAAGTTAGAATGCTCTTTTTGCATCGCTATTTTTAAGTGGCTCTAACTTAATATGATAGAGTGGCACTTTTGGGGGTGGGGTTTTCTGAATGCCTTTAGTGAAATTAAATTCGAAGTTGTAGATGAAGTGGACAATTTCTTAGAAAACTAAGATATTAAGATTGGAGAAGATACAGGAAACCCCCAGAAAGCAAGTAACTGTTAAATTAAATCACAGTTGAGTATGTTACCCTCAGACAGACATCAGGCCTAAATGGTTTCAGAGGTTTTATCAAACATTGGAGGAACAGACAATCCTTGTCTTACACAAACTCTTCAAATAATAGAATAATAGAGAAAGCTACCCAATGCATTGTTGAGATTAATATAACCTTAATACCCAAAACATTGAAGGTTGATATCAGGGCATAAAAGTATGGGCTAATCTTGTTTATGAAAATAAATGCAAAATTTTAAATAAGTAGCAGATCAAACTCAGAATCGTATAGAAATTAATACATTATCACCAAGTATAGTTGATCCTAGGAGGGCAAGAAAATAGATTAATCCATTATATTAATTTAAAATTTGTGTATTGATGGGCCGCCCGGGTGGCTCAGTTGGTTAAGCATCCGACTTCAGCTCAGGTCATGATATCACGGTTTGTGGGTTCGAGCCCCACGTTGGCCTCTGTGCTGACAGCTAGCTCAGAGCCTGGAGCCTGTTTCAGATTCTGTGTCTCCCTCTCTCTCTGACCCTCCCCTGTTCACGCTGTCTCTCTCTCTCTCAGAAATAAATAAAACTAAAAAAATAAATAATAAAATTTGTGTATTGAGTGGTACCTGAGTGGCTCAGTCGTTAAGCCTCTGACTTTGGCTCATGTCATGACCTTGCAGTTCATGAGTTTGAGCCCTGTGTTGGGCTCTGTGCTGACAGAAGCCTGGATCCTGCTTCAGATTCTGTGTCTCCCTCTCACTCTGCCTCTCCTCCATTCACACCCTGTCTCTCTCTCAAAAATAAAAAGACTTTTAATTTGTGTATTGAGTTTACAGTGGGTTAAGCCCTGTTCTAGGCATTTAACAAAGTAATGGATTAAAGGAGAAAAGCCTTTTATTTCTATACAGAAATTGAGAAAGAAGAGATAATAATGTTTCTTTACCTAGAAAACCAAAGAATATCCACTCCAAACTATTACAACTAAAAAAGTTCAGCAAAGTTGCTGGATACAAGATCACCATAAAACAACAGCATTCCTACATATCAAAAATAACTAATTAGAAAACATAATTTTTCAAAAGACCATTCACAGTAGCACAAAACCTATAAAGTACCTAGGAATAGATGTAAGATAAGATATACAACAATATTTTATTATTTTCTTCATAAAGGTTTTAAAGCACATCAAAGAAAACCTGAATGATTAGAGAGATAATTCTATATTTATAGATGAGGAAACAATATTTTTCAGATGTTGGGTTTCCCAGAATTCAGTTCTAAATTCAGAATTCCAACCAAAACTTCAAAGATTTTTACAGAACTTAACAAGTAGATTCTGAAGTTTATAAGAAGGGTAAAGGGCCGAGAGCAGTCAAGACAATTTTGAAAGAAGAACAAGTTGGGTGCGAAGAATTAATTGTGTTAAGTATTAGGATTGATTAAAAAGTCACCTTAAATGAGACAGTGTGGAACTGATGCAAAGATGATAAAGAGAGCAATGAAACAAGAGAGCTCAGAAAGAGACCTCTGTGTATATGGGAACATGAAGATTTAAGGGGAGTATACGTATCAGTGAGACTGGGTGGTTCCGCTGTAGTAAGGAAGCAATCTTGCCAACAAAAGATCCCTCTGTACTAATATGGACAAGCGAACACTATATATTATTGGGTGAGCGTTAACAGAGCGACAAGCCTGAAAGGGACTATGAAGTCAGAACAGAATCATGCACATTTCATACAGGAACCAAGAAGGTTTCATGCGCAGTGCGGGGCCTGATGCAGGGCTCATTCCCGTGACCCTGGGATCATGACCTGAACTGAAATCGGGAGTCCAGACATTAACCCAACTGAGCCTTCCAAGTGCCCCAGATTGACAAAATTTTAAAGTGACTTTATGAAGTATTGTTGAAAATGTGCATGAAAGGAACTTTCATGTACTGCAGGTGGGAGTGTAAATTGGTGTGATCCCTGGGAGAGCAATTTGTTAGCATCAAATACAGTAGAAGGTGCATATTTCCTCTCTGTAGCCTTCCAAGTTTAGTATATGTCCTGCCAAAGCAAGTATATCCTACAACCTAGTGATTCCATGTGTAGGTCTATTCTCAGAGCAGTGGTTCTCCAGGTGTGTTCCAGAATTCACAGAATCAGCATCAACTGGGAAGTTGTTAGACATGGGCATTTTTAGGCCTCATCCTTGGTATACTGAATCAGAAACCTAGGGTAGGGGAGAGATAGACAGCAATCTGGTCTAAAAAGCTTTCCAAATGATTCCGATGCGTGTTTAATTTTGAGAACCACTGCCTTAGAGGAATTCTCATACAGGGCCCAGGGAGACATAGAAGACCAAGCAAGGCTTAATTTAGTGGTTTTAAAGTGTTGGGCTCTCTGGATTCCAATCCCAGCCCCACCATGTCTTGGTGCTTTAATCTGGAGAAAATGATGTAGCTTTTCTTTTTGTTAGTAACCCGTCTATGAGATGGAGGTGAATATAGTACCTTCTGCATATAGTAGCTGTGCATGAATTAATTCACACAGGGCAGTGGCTGACACAGAGTAAGCACTCCACAAATGTAGCCTCTTATTAGGGTATTTATTGCAGCCTTGCTTGTTAACAGTAAAGTATTGGAAAAAGATTTCTTAAAAATAAGACTGAAAGCAAACATGGAAAAGGATTAAAATTGGTAAAATTTTGGGTGGTGGGTATATAGGTGTTGTATCATCCCTTGTACTTTTCTGTGTTGAATATTTTGATTTTGTTTTTTTATTTATTTTTGAGAGAGAGGAGAGACAGACAGAATCCAAATCAGGCTCCAGCATAGAGCCCGATGTGGAGCTTGAACTCACGAACTCCATGTGGGGCTCGAACTCATGAACCGTGAGATCATGACATGAGCTGAAGTCATGCGCCTAACCGACTGAGCCACCCCGGCACCTCTCTACATGTTGGGTATTCTGGGAGCAAAAGAGAATAGCAGAGGGTGTCATCATTTATCTCTCCACATTTAGATTTCCACAGGAGATAGTTTAAGTAAATCATGATGTGTTCATCAAAAATATTTTCATGGGGGTGCCTGGGTGGCTCTGTCAGGTAAGCCTCTGACTGGCTCAGGTCATGATATCATGATTTGTGAATTCGAGCCTCACATCAGGCTCTGCGCTGACAGCACACAGCCTGCTTTGGGTCCTCTGTGTCTCTCTCTCTGCTCCTCCCCATCTCTCTCTCTTTCTCTCTCTCTCTCTCTCTCTGTATCTCAAAAATAAACATTAAAAAAAAAAAAAAAAGATTCCTGTAGAGGTCACTGAACTTGTGTTTTTGGCATTTCTCTTATAACTTGCGCTCCTAATATCCTATAATTCTCACCAAGTTTGAATAGCTTCTATCTTTTCCCACTTTTGTGCCTTTTTACCCATTGTCTCCTCCATATCTACTGCCCTATTCAAACTCTCCATCTTTCAAGTCCCCAGCTCAAATGCTACCTCCTTGATAAAGATGTACCTGGGTTACTGGTACATCTTTTCTGCCCCTGAATGTTCCAGACATTCATTCTATTTCTCACATAGCCCTTGCCACATTCTGCCTTATGTTAGAAGTGTTTCCCCCCTACTTTGTCTCACACTTCTTATTCAGTAGCAAATTGTCTTTTAATGGGGCAACAATTAGTATAGTCTACAAAAAATTGGAGAATGATTCAAATATTGAGTTCAGTTGACTGAGTACACACATGCTGCCCATGGAAACTGTATGGTCCAGGCTTCACTGGCCGGTGAATAGCAATTATGATGTTCTGAGTCCCCACCTTGTTGCCTAGTCAGTCATCACATGTTTTTTCCCAGAATCCCACAAACCAAATATTCTTGATAATTCTCAAATTGTGGGTCGCAGAAAAAGGTCTTTTCACTCTAGGAGTCTGGGAGAGGTGGTCTGAGAGGGTAAAGAGGCTGGCCTCTCACGTAATCAGTGCCACTGCCTGCAG